TCAGCAGAAATCTTTATTATTTATAATTTATTATTATGAATTTTATAATGTTTTTCTGGTGAAAAATAAGTGGAATCTAAGTGTGTATTTTCCAACAAACATAAAATAAGTATTATGGGTAATGTATATTTAACCACAAAAATTACCAACAGAGGGAAAAGATCAATGTGTGAATTTCTTGTTGCTTTTCTAGAATGCTAAAACTAGAAGAAAAGTGAATTTTTATTAAATATGAAGAAGTGTTTGTTTGATTTTTTTGATAGATATTTGAGATTGATGTATCCTTTAAAACTTCATCGTGGAGTAACAGCACTGCCAACGGTCTGAAACATGAACATTTAAGACAGTAGATATCTTAACAGATAATCTGTTTTACTAAGAAGTATTGATATATTGGGATCTTAATGAGTATTTGAGATAAAAGTTGTCGTGTAAAAGAATATTTCTCCTCCTTTTCTAAGAGAAAATATAATACTGCAATCACAGTCAAAAACAATGAATACTCACTCAGAATAGTTGTTAGACAGCTTGTCGTTCTCTTGGGTCAGGTCTAGCTAAAGTGTATGTATATAGTGATTTGCGTACCTTTCTCAGCAAAGGTGGAGCAGTATATGCTGCCTGGTCGATGCAGCAGCTGTAGGACAGCCATCAGCTGGTCGGTCTAAACATGTTCCTGCCACGCAGCCACCCAGCAGCACATGTGCAGCTTTCACAGCGCGTGTAGTACATGCTACTGGCAGCCTAAGGAAGGGTATATAGGAAACAGGAGTCAGAGGAATAGAGCTGGGCCTGGCAGAAGAAATTAAAAAAGGAGCTAAAATAGGCAATCTCGGATATTGCAAGGTGGGATGTAGCCAGCTATCGATAAATCCAAACATTTAGTGAGCTACCTGATTACTTGAGTTTGCACTGTCTTGTCTTAAAAACTGTTACCAGTCTGCGCTCAGATGCATTTCTGTGTTGTCTGCGTAGCCATCACTGTATTTCCAGATATTTAATGGTTGTCTCTTAGACTCTGCTTAATTTTTGACCCTGCTATGTTGCTCTTCCCTTGCCACAGGTCTTGTGCTTGCTCGGAAAATGAGATAACGAATTTTTTATTAACCAGCATGTAAATTTTATGAAGCAGCCCTTTTTTTTAACTAATATAATGTGATACAGACTTTGCAGTACAAACAGGGCAAGTCATGTTGCTGGCATGCTTGTTGGCTCTGGTTCATTGTTGGTCTCTTACTAGAATATCTAGAAAGCAGACATTTTCAAGCAGAATTTGTCCATGTTCTTGTTGGAACAGTCTAAATTTGCAGATATCCCACAGTAAAACTTATTATATCCCAAAGGAATATTTTTTATCTTATCTGCATTAACATTCAGATTTTGTTAACTTCTGCTCAAATGTTTTGCTCTACTCCAAGGTTTCAGCAATTTTACCAGAGACTGAATGAACGCTGTGGGTGTAAGGCTACTAGATTTTCTGTCTTCCTTAAATCATCTTCAAACATTAATAGGTTCAGTTTTCAGATTGTCGCCTTAATTAGAAAGATATTTAGTAACACTTAGGGCATTTTCATATTCCCACTCCCCTGTTTGCTTTACTACAGTCAGAAGACAGGAATTATATGTAGCCAGAGTGGTGTGAAGTACTGGAATCAGAGATACAGTGATTCTCAGAAGCCCCTTGTTCCTGCTTACTGTATTTTCAGGCTTAGTTGGTTAGCTTTCTGTATGTGTTTAGTAGTCACTAAGGCTTTCAGATTGCGTGTTCTCCCAAAGGGAAGGACTTTCATATTCCTATTGATCAGTTAAGTTAAAAATGTATCAACCTAACTTTGGAGTTTAATAACAGAGGGAGGAAAAAAGAAGGTTTCATGGATATATGTCTAGAGTGCTCAGTATGGTGCCATTTTAGAATCACAGAATCATAGAATGGTTAGGATTGGAAGGAACCTCAAAGATCATCTAGTTCCAACCACCCTGCCATGGGCAGGGAAATCCTCCACTACACCAGGTCGCCCAAAGCCTCATCCAGCCTGGCCTTGAACACTTTCAGGGATGGGGCATCTACAACTTCTCTGGGCAACCTGTTCCACTGCCTCACCACCCTCAGAGTGAAAATTTTTTTTCTTATATCCAATCTAAATCTGCCCTCTTTCAGTTTAAACCCATTTCCCCTTGTCCTATCACTACATGCCCTTGTAAAAAGTCCCTCTCCAGCTTTCCTGTAGGCCTCCTTTAAGTACTGGAAGGCTGCCATAAGATCACTCTGAAGTCTTCTCTTCTCCAGGCTGAACAGCCCCAACTCTCTCAGTCTGTCTTCATAGGAGAGGTGCTCCAACCCTCAGATCATCTTCGTGGCCCTCCTCTGGACTCGCTCCAGCAGCTCCATGTCCTTGTGTTGGGGAAATTTTGAAACTGAAATCTTTGTATTGTCCTGGAAAAAGGTACTGAGTTTTGCAGATGTTTTACCAGGTGCTTGGACATCAGTGGGATTCTTGTGAAACACCTGGATTTGCAATATGATTTCCTTTTTTGTTTACTTCATACAATGCTTTAAACATATTAAGCCTTTTAAATTTTTCCCATTTTCTTTGTGAAGGCTGACTTTTAAATAAAGATGATAACGCATAGAATCATAGAATGATTTGGGTTGGAAGGGAACATTTACTTCTGAATTTCTCCTTTTCAGACTCTATGACATCTGATTTGCTAATGCAGTATATTGAATCACCATACATAGTCCAGAGCTGTTGAAGTCTTTTTCTCCAGCAATATTCTTAATTCTTTTTTGAAAATCATAGAATCATAGAATGGCATAGGCTGGAAGGGACCTTAGAGATCATCTATTCCAACCTCACAGTCCTTTTGAAAGTACTTATTGTCTTTATCTGTTTTCCATTATCGCATTTGTATTGTTCCATTATTGCATTTTGTATTGTTTATATGAAGACCATAAAAGTGGACATTAAAATCTTCCGTATGTTAGCTAGCCTTTTTACAGGAAATAGGTTGTTTACCTCCTCTTTTGACAACTTGTAAAATTACAGTTTTTACAGTTTAGTGAATGAGTCTGCTTCCCTTACCTGAGTTTTTGATCTACCTTTAGTTCCTTTAAGATCTTTTAGCTTTTGGATTTGTGCTGACAGACAATTCTACACTTTAATTGCATTTTAATTCAGACTGTCTGTGTGGGTGGGAAAGTTTGATGTTCTTTTGGTTTTGAAATATTTATTTATTGCCTTTCTTTTTTTCGCTGCTGTCACTCTTGGAGCAAGTCTTTTGATTTATCCTTGTCTTGTCTTATCACCCACATCCTTCTCTCGTTTAAGATTCTTCTATTCATTAGCAGACTCATCACAATTTTGGTTTAACTATATGGCTTCTTTGCGTGAAATGTAATAATTTATCCATTTATCTTTCTGTTTCCTTCCCTCCCTCCTTCCCTCCCTCCCTCCTTCCTTCCTTTTCTCTTATCCCACTTCTTTCATTTTGTATTTTCAAGTTTTATTTAACATGACACTTCATTTTGCTCTTTTTCCTTCTGCCATATAAATACTGTATCACATCAAGTATATTTGCTAACATCTGTTGGGTACTCTCAGTGATCTGTTCCATAAAATTAATGCTTATTCAAAGTATTGAACCTGTGAACTAAACTCTGCAAACCTTTAAGGAGAGAAGAATTCTCTTTTGGTTCCTCTTTAATTTATTTTTGTTCAAAACAGTAGACTAGATGACCTTTGAAGATCCCTTCCAACCCAAACCACTCTATCATTCTATGATTCCATGAAATCCATGGACCTTCCTGATCCCATTATGTATCTATTTGTAGTTCATTGAAAGCTATATGCGGTCTGGAGTCATCATGTTTCTGATTGTAGCTGAGATTTTCTCTTTCTCCGCAACACCTTTTTATATAGCTTCTCTGGTATTGGTCCCATAAGATCAATTGACTTCGTCTTTGGATAAGCTGGTGATAGGTAGAAATCCAACAGTGGAAGATCTTTCTTATATGTTCATCTGTAAGCAAGATTGTGTCTATTTCCTATAATATTCTTTTCTTTATTTTATAAATATTTCAAATATCTCATGGAAAAATTATTCTTAAAAACTATCACTTCTGGTGTCTTGTATCTTATCATGCTTAGACAAACTTAATATACCTCAGTCTTATTAAAGAGAGTGTTATCTGTCAATAGGAACAGCTTTTAAGAAAATAATGATAAACCGATTGAAAACTTAAATCTATTTTTTTCCTGGCTATATGTATATCCTACACCAGCTACTGTCAGAAAGGGTTGTAACACATTAGATATTTAAACAAATATGCAAAAGTGATTTTTGACAAGATTTTAAAATATCTCTTTTCATGTACAATATACATTCGTTTCATCTTGAGATCAAAAGCACTAGAACAGAATCTCTATCATATCTCATCTCTGCTGGATTTAGTCGTAGCACAGGATAGCAGAAGGAGAGACACTAGCAGTTCTGTTTTTGTCTTTTAGATTGCTTGTACATAGCCTTCAAATTATTTAAAGCATTCATTTTGCTGTCCTGGACAATAAACTATGGCCCTCATGAAGTTCTCTATCAGCAATTCTGTGTGGGAGCACGTAAGCATCTTCACGTGCCCCTTAAAATGCTGTTATGTGCTTATTGATAAAAGCAATACAGTATTTTTATATTGATTTTAGAAAAAAATGAGAACACTTTACAAAACACCATTTAAGTTACCATAATACTAAATACAATTCAGTGAAAAGCAGAGTGGTTTTTCTTGTTCTATTGACCAAAGTTGAATGGGCATTACAGTTAGTGAAGTTCAATGCGTATGGACTATAATTTCTATATAGTTATTTTCCCAGGTACTTCCTCATAATGCATGTGGAAGCTGCTGTAACCTACTAAGTACAAGTAACCTACTGAGTATGACTTTATGAGCAAAAAGAGACAT